GATAGTCAGGTCAGATGTTTAGGAGATCTGTTGTATACCTACTGTATGATAGGTCAGATGTTTAGGAGATCTGTTGTATACCTACTGTATGATAGGTCAGATGTTTAGGAGATCTGTTGTATACCTACTGTATGATAGTCAGGTCAGATGTTTAGGAGATCTGTTGTATACCTACTGTATGATAGGTCGGATGTTTAGGAGATCTGTTGTATACCTACTGTATGATTGGTCGGATGTTTAGGAGATCTGTTGTATACCTACTGTATGATAGTCAGGTCAGATGTTTAGGAGACCTGTTGTATACCTACTGTATGATAGTCAGGTCAGATGTTTAGGAGATCTGTTGTATACCTACTGTATGATAGGTCAGATGTTTAGGAGACCTGTTGTATACCTACTGTATGATAGGTCAGATGTTTAGGAGACCTGTTGTATACCTACTGTATGATAGTCAGGTCAGATGTTTAGGAGATCTGTTGTATACCTACTGTATGATAGTCAGGTCAGATGTTTAGGAGATCTGTTGTATACCTACTGTATGATAGTCAGGTCAGATGTTTAGGAGATCTGTTGTATACCTACTGTATGATAGGTCAGATGTTTAGGAGATCTGTTGTATACCTACTGTATGATAGTCAGGTCATATGTTTAGGAGACCTGTTGTATACCTACTGTATGATAGTCAGGTCAGATGTTTTAGGAGACCTGTTGTATAACTACTGTATGATAGTCAGGTCATATGTTTTAGGAGACCTGTTGTATACCTACTGTATGATAGTCAGGTCAGATGTTTAGGAGATCTGTTGTATACCTACTGTATGATAGTCAGGTCAGATGTTTAGGAGATCTGTTGTATACCTACTGTATGATAGGTCAGATGTTTAGGAGATCTGTTGTATACCTACTGTATGATTGGTCGGATGTTTAGGAGATCTGTTGTATACCTACTGTATGATCGTCAGGTCAGATGTTTAGGAGATCTGTTGTATACCTACTGTATGATAGTCAGGTCAGATGTTTAGGAGATCTGTTGTATACCTACTGTATGATAGTCAGGTCAGATGTTTAGGAGATCTGTTGTATACCTACTGTATGATAGTCAGGTCAGATGTTTAGGAGATCTGTTGTATACCTACTGTATGATAGTCAGGTCAGATGTTTAGGAGATCTGTTGTATACCTACTGTGTGATAGTTCAGATGTTTAGGAGATCTGTTGTATACCTACTGTATGATAGTCACGTCAGATGTTTAGGAGATCTGTTGTATACCTACTGTATGATAGTCAGGTCAGATGTTTAGGAGATCTGTTGTATACCTACTGTATGATAGTCAGGTCAGATGTTTAGGAGATCTGTTGTATACCTACTGTATGTATGATAGTCAGGTCAGATGTTTAGGAGATCTGTTGTATACCTACTGTATGATAGTCAGGTCAGATGTTTAGGAGATCTGTTGTATACCTACTGTATGATAGTCAGGTCAGATGTTTAGGAGATCTGTTGTATACCTACTGTATGATAGTCAGGTCAGATGTTTAGGAGATCTGTTGTATACCTACTGTATGATAGTCAGGTCAGATGTTTAGGAGATCTGTTGTATACCTACTGTATGATAGTCAGGTCAGATGTTTAGGAGATCTGTTGTATACCTACTGTATGATAGTCAGGTCAGATGTTTAGGAGATCTGTTGTATACCTACTGTGTGATAGTCAGGTCAGATGTTTAGGAGATCTGTTGTATACCTACTGTATGATAGTCAGGTCAGATGTTTAGGAGATCTGTTGTATACCTACTGTATGATAGTCAGGTCAGATGTTTAGGAGATCTGTTGTATACCTACTGTATGATAGTCAGGTCAGATGTTTTGGAGATCTGTTGTATACCTACTATATGATAGTCAGGTCAGATGTTTAGGAGATCTGTTGTATACCTACTGTATGATAGGTCGGATGTTTACGAGATCTGTGGTATACCTACTGTATGATAGGTCGGATGTTCAGGAGATCTGTTGTATACCTACTGTATGATAGGTCGGATGTTTAGGAGATCTGTTGTATACCTACTGTATGATTGGTCGGATGTTTAGGAGATCTGTTGTATACCTACTGTATGATAGTCAGGTCAGATGTTTAGGAGATCTGTTGTATACCTACTGTATGATAGTCAGGTCAGATGTTTAGGAGATCTGTTGTATACCTACTGTATGATAGTCAGGTCATATGTTTAGGAGACCTGTTGTATACCTACTGTATGATAGTCAGGTCAGATGTTTAGGAGATCTGTTGTATACCTACTGTATGATAGTCAGGTCAGATGTTTAGGAGATCTGTTGTATACCTACTGTATGATAGTCAGGTCAGATGTTTAGGAGATCTGTTGTATACCTACTGTATGATAGTCAGGTCAGATGTTTAGGAGATCTGTTGTATACCTACTGTATGATAGTCAGGTCAGATGTTTAGGAGATCTGTTGTATACCTACTGTATGATAGTCAGGTCAGATGTTTAGGAGATCTGTTGTATACCTACTGTATGATAGTCAGGTCAGATGTTTAGGAGATCTGTTGTATACCTACTGTATGATAGTCAGGTCAGATGTTTAGGAGATCTGTTGTATACCTACTGTATGATAGGTCAGATGTTTAGGAGATCTGTTGTATACCTACTGTATGATAGTCAGGTCAGATGTTTAGGAGATCTGTATGTATGATAGTCAGGTCAGATGTTTAGGAGATCTGTTGTATACCTACTGTATGATAGTCAGGTCAGATGTTTAGGAGATCTGTTGTATACCTACTGTATGATAGTCAGGTCAGATGTTTAGGAGATCTGTTGTATACCTACTGTATGATAGTCAGGTCAGATGTTTAGGAGATCTGTTGTATACCTACTGTATGATAGTCAGTTTAGGTCAGATGTTTAGGAGATCTGTTGTATACCTACTGTATGATAGTCAGGTCAGATGTTTAGGAGATCTGTTGTATACCTACTGTATGATAGTCAGGTCAGATGTTTAGGAGATCTGTTGTATACCTACTGTATGATAGTCAGGTCAGATGTTTAGGAGATCTGTTGTATACCTACTGTATGATAGTCACGGTCAGATGGTCAGATGGTCAGATGTTTAGGAGATCTGTTGTATACCTACTGTATGATAGTCAGGTCAGATGTTTAGGAGATCTGTTGTATACCTACTGTATGATAGGTCAGATGTTTAGGAGATCTGTTGTATACCTACTGTATGATAGTCAGGTCAGATGTTTAGGAGATCTGTTGTATACCTACTGTATGATAGTCAGGTCAGATGTTTAGGAGATCTGTTGTATACCTACTGATGTTTAGGAGATCTGTTGTATACCTACTGTATGATAGTCACGTCAGATGTTTAGGAGATCTGTTGTATACCTACTGTATGATAGTCAGGTCAGATGTTTAGGAGATCTGTTGTATACCTACTGTATGATAGTCAGGTCAGATGTTTAAGAGACCTGTTGTATACCTACTGTATGATAGGTCAGATGTTTAGGAGATCTGTTGTATACCTACTGTATGATAGTCAGGTCAGATGTTTAGGAGATCTGTTGTATACCTACTGTATGATAGGTCAGATGTTTAGGAGATCTGTTGTATACCTACTGTGTGATAGTCAGGTCAGATCTTTAGGAGATCTGTTGTATACCTACTGTGTGATAGTCAGGTCAGATGTTTAGGAGATCTGTTGTATACCTACTGTATGATAGTCAGGTCAGATGTTTAGGAGATCTGTTGTATACCTACTGTATGATAGTCAGGTCAGATGTTTAGGAGATCTGTTGTATACCTACTGTATGATAGGTCAGATGTTTAGGAGATCTGTTGTATACCTACTGTATGATAGTCAGGTCAGATGTTTAGGAGATCTGTTGTATACCTACTGTATGATAGTTCAGATGTTTAGGAGATCTGTTGTATACCTACTGTATGATAGTCACGTCAGATGTTTAGGAGATCTGTTGTATACCTACTGTATGATAGTCAGGTCAGATGTTTAGGAGATCTGTTGTATACCTACTGTATGATAGTCAGGTCAGATGTTTAGGAGATCTGTTGTATACCTACTGTATGATAGTCAGGTCAGATGTTTAGGAGATCTGTTGTATACCTACTGTATGATAGTCAGGTCAGATGTTTAGGAGATCTGTTGTATACCTACTGTATGATAGTCAGGTCAGATGTTTAGGAGATCTGTTGTATACCTACTGTATGATAGTCAGGTCAGATGTTTATGAGATCTGTTGTATACCTACTGTATGATAGTCAGGTCAGATGTTTAGGAGATCTGTTGTATACCTACTGTATGATAGTAAGGTCAGATATTTAGGAGATCTGTTGTATACCTACTGTATGATAGTCAGGTCAGATGTTTAGGAGATCTGTTGTATACCTACTGTATGATAGTCAGGTCAGATGTTTAGGAGATCTGTTGTATACCTACTGTGTGATAGTCAGGTCAGATCTTTAGGCGATCTGTTGTATACCTACTGTATGATGGGTCAGATGTTTAGGAGATCTGTTGTATACCTACTGTATGATAGGTCAGATGTTTAGGAGATCTGTTGTATACCTACTGTATGATAGGTCAGATGTTTAGGAGATCTGTTGTATACCTACTGTATGATAGGTCAGATGTTTAGGAGATCTGTTGTATACCTACTGTATGATAGTCAGGTCAGATGTTTAGGAGATCTGTTGTATACCTACTGTATGATAGTCAGGTCAGATGTTTAGGAGATCTGTTGTATACCTACTGTATGATAGTCAGGTCAGATGTTTAGGAGATCTGTTGTATACCTACTGTATGATAGTCAGGTCAGATGTTTAGGAGATCTGTTGTATACCTACTGTATGATAGTCGGGTCAGATGTTTAGGAGATATGTTGTATACCTACTGTATGATAAACAACAAACAGATGTTTAGGAGATATTTTATACCTTAAATGTATTGATAGTCATTATGTTACATTATCACACTATATATGTGTAACAATATGTACAGTGTTACTCTAAACATGTAAGTTCAAGACTACACATGAGTAATACCATACATGTGTAACACAATACATGTGTAATACCATACATGTGTAACATCATACATGTGTAACACCATACATGTGTAATACCATACATGTGTAATACTAAACGCATAATATAACATGTGTAATACCATACATGTGTAATACCATACATGTGTAATATGTGTAATACCATACATGTGTAATACCATACATGTGACATCATACATATATAACACCATACACATGTATAACAACATACATATGTAACATTACATATGTGTAACACCATGCAGGATTAACACTTGCCATGAGTTACATTACACACGAGTACTACTATATGTAGGACATTACAGAGGTGCATGAAGCATGCTACAACAAGTATACTCATACAACATTAGTACTGGACTGTGAAATATTAGTATGATAAATGTATGTTTATACCAATTATGTTTTAACAGATCAAAGATCATCTCAAAAAGAACTTCAGATCAGTACTGAAACTAGATCCAATATTACAAGTTCTTACCTTTAACACAAAAAAATGATACAATGTTATGCCAAAAGTAAAGGACATGATGAAAATCAGCATCATTTGGATGTTTGACTACATTGGGATACTATGTCAGTGTATATATGTTGTATCTAGTGATTCGGAGGAGGGGAAGGGTGAGGGAGAATTCAGCAGTTGATTACTTAAGGAACGTTTGCATTGACTACGAGATTTCATGTAGAGGCTACCACAAGACAAAAAGTAAGCTTAAAGCTGTTGCTGTGTTTGAGAGTTGTAACTTACTGCTAAACCTTCCATATATAGCAACAATTATTCATTTATCTCCAAGGATTCAGTGTTACAGGTAGGTAATTACTGGGACCAGTTTTGTTAAAACATGAGAGGAAGAAACCTGGAAAGCTCACAAGACCCATGTCTTCGTGAGTCTATGTTGATGGACATGTTGATACTAAAAATATTGGCCCAGATACCTGGAACTGATTCTGTAAAATAGAATCTCAATCAAGACTTCACAATAAATAGTAAAAATAATAACTTACTGCAAATCAAAAGCAAAACACTTCTGTCGTTGGATTTCATAGCAAGTTAATCTCAATGGCAAAAATATCTTGGTATATTTTACCACAGACTTAGGTTAGCCCAGGCCTGTGATTTTACACATTTGAGATACAAATATCAATAATGCAGTACAGCTGAAATTTCATTTGTGTAACTGTATATAAACATATCTTAATTGTCTCCACCCACTTTATGTGGCAGTCTATCATTGTGTAACACTGCCAGTAGTCGTCTTATAAGTTAATTGAGAGACTTCCTGGGTCTGATGTGACTCCTACCAGCGTATGGTCTATAGACTAAACACTAGCTTATATAAAACCAGATACACTACAAATTCTTTTAAGTAGGTCTGATAAATGCGTGGAAGACAGATACATATTTTATATAAAGGCACATGTCTGAAATTGTCTGCAATCAAAATCTTGAATTCTGTATCCATGGCAACTACATGAGTCGGATCAGTGATGGCATTTGAAACATGGTTTTAAATTTATGTCTCCAATTCAAAAAAATAATTTTCATAAGCGTGGTGAAACTAGTACATTACATACATGTAGGCAACGTAACATATCTAGTACTGAAGTTACAAAATATAAATGTAGGCATCACAATGAAGAATGGCCAAAAAAATATATTAATGAAACTATTGGAAGACATACTTTTATACCATGAAAGTATGACACATGCTATAAATACACCGCCAAAATAAACTAGAGATGTCCATCAAATGACCTCTCAGTTTTTGTTATATGGAGCTAGTATAGAAACATACAGCCCCAAACACACTGTAAAACTGGTTTACCCGAAAAAATCACAAAAAAAACCCCGCTTTCATCCAGACTTCTCTTGCTTAGTGAGAGGTCTGGATGACTGATTTCTCCTATTCACTGCTAACCTTAAACCTCTAAATAGGATAATCCACCTTGAAGATTTCAATAGTCTGCCTGTTCAGTGAGAGCCTCAAATTGACAAGACAAATATTCTTCTTTGTGGAATATGTTCAACCTGTGATGTGAAGTCAGCATAACAGAGGAAATTCCCCTAAGCTTGTAAGAGGCTGACATTATGCCATTTCTACTTGTTCTAGTCTGAGAAACGAAACAATTTATCTTAAAAAGTAAAGACAGTGATTTGAGCCGTAATTGTTGTAGAAAACAAACATGGCTGCCCTAACCTATATACTGATATCAATAATATTTTATGTCCAACATTGATTACAGAGTGACCAACTGTGTCCTGTATGGAATGACTAAAACACCAATAAAGACATCCAATGATTGCACATTCCTGTTTGTATAAAAAGGAAAATTCCTAAAAATTTATTTTACTATAAAAGGATTATGATTTCCTCCCTTTAAAAAAGATTGAGATTACCTCCCTTTAATCGAGTCTCCTACATAGGTTGGTTCTATCTTTTCCCAGGGAATGAAAGTGTGCAAGTGAAAGTATTTCTTGCTCTAGAAATACATCTAAAATTCATTTCTGTATGTCTCTGCAAGATTTTAAATTCACTCTTTGTATTAGATACAACAGCAACAAAATCATATTTAAAACTAATATTTCATTTTAAAATAATATTTAAAAATGTTTCTCATTGTTTAACAATTAAAGGTCTAAAATCAGAGCAAAAACTTTTACTAAAACTTTCTGAAAAGCCTTGTGTCAATGCATGTCTAACATTTAAGTGTTTTCTGAAAACCTCTAGAACCAAGAAAGTTTCAAAACTATTGGAGCAAAATGATTTTGTTCTCACTATATTTAACAATGTTTAAGAACAATCTCTCCCAAATTAACTTTTTTTTCTAGCAAAAGCACTAACATAGCACTGGTCCCCAACACCCTCGCATTACTGAAATAGAAAAATGTTTTCTAAGTAAAAATGCAGTCACCCTAAACTATCCCTTTCTGTAGCAAGTGGACTAGAGTAGTTACATTTGTATGTCCAATTGTAGGGTAACTGAACAGACCATAGTATTTTATGAAAATATCGGAAAAAATATCAGAGAATGAAAATTGCACAAAACATATAAAGCAGTCTGACCATCATATTATAGAAAGGTACAAGCTGGAGGCATATTAAGGAATGTCCAGTGATGTCAGAGAACACCTTGTTTATAACACAACACATATACTGGCACATCAAAAGACGTCGTGTCTTCATCAAACAAAAATAATGCATTGCTTTTGTTCATTGTTTCTATTATGACATGTGGGACTTGAGTATTCTTCATCTATGAACCCTGTAAACACATACGAAGAAGTCGGACATCGACAAGCAATTCTTGCAATAATCTGCTTATCAATGTCAAACACAATCTCTAGTCCACTTCACACCCTGTTTCCATGGGTAGAAATATAACTGACGAGTATTTTAGCAGATTCACAGGGCATCCACTGGCTATCCACTGAGTATCCACTGGGTACGTTAGAAATCCACCGAGTATTTGAAGGGTATCTTCTAACCATCCCCTAGGTAGCCACACAGTGTCATGTGAGAATCTGTAACTTGTCTGCCCTGGTCAGAGAAACAACAGTTCCAGCAAACGGTAACCATGAACAAAGCTGATGTTGATGTTCTACAAACATCAGTATTTGGCACAAATGGCTGTAGGTCAGACACCACTAAGCACAAGCTGACTGCTATGAATATTGGGAAAGCTCAACAGAGGCTCCTTGTGTCTGTGTATCTGGCCAGCAGACACTGGTTTGGGATGACCTTGAGCTTGGGAATGTCAAGGTCAACCTTTCTCATGGTCACTGGATTTATCACAGTTATGGCGACATGTCCGGATCCCAAGCAAGGTAGGCTTCAGTCGAATGACATGAGATTTGTAGGTGTCTGTAAATGTAAATTATAAATGTTGAAACTCGAAAACTTGCACAAGACTTAATATCTTAATTTATTAATTCTAGTAGATATACCTAAATAGCTCAGAAATGTATATGAAATTTGTTTTTCACTGTAATGATATACTTTGAACAACAACAGAATTTATTCTGGTTTTTGCTTTCATCTAACTATCCCTGAAAAGTTGGATATTTTGTGATAAGGCTACATTTCTCTAATTATGTGTGCTGTTTATTACTATTTTATCATAAAACCTGTTACAGTCCCAAAAATACCAAATAATGATTCCTATGTGTATAAAAACATAAAACAAAGGTCACAGCATGAATTATCTACCTTTGGTTGGAAGCGTTTTGTAGCCTCACTGAGATGTCGACACCATGTTAATGCTTGGGCTTGGCTGCCTCCCCGGAACTTGTACACATTACCTGTAACACAACACAACATCTCTTCACTCTGACAGCTTACATAATCCAGTATACACATACTACTATAGGACTAAACACATCAAAGTTGTAATGACTGACATTCATTATAATTTCAGAAAAATTATTATTAAAAATTATATGACATGAAGTGAACTGAATCTGCTTTCTTTCAAACAAGATTTAGAAAACTTCACCACTTTAAATTTCTTCAGTCTAAAATGATTAACTCAGCTATCATCAATCTCATCCAGTTCCCTTCTAATATCTTTCATGTCCCTTACACTACCCATAATGCACCTTGTGCTTTTCATTACACTTTAAGAGCTTATCAATAATTTCCCTTGATAGAACCTGAAAAGGAGAGTGATCACCTACCTTTCATAGGGTCTGTTAACTGGAATGCATCTGGTTGAAGTGGATTATCCCCCATGACAACCATCCAGCCAACAACAGATGTCATCTTACTGGGGTTGGTTTTAAACTGAAATGTTGATGATAGAGAATATGAAAATAGCCAGCTTCATTTATTGTCTTCTACACTTGAAGTAATAATCCCAAAAAATGTGCATAAATTTTTCAAAAGATACTTCCATTGTTTTATAGAAAATTTGACAGATCTGATAATAACTAGAGAGACTTCGATGAAATTGAGAAAATTTATGGTGCAATGCATACAGATTTGTATTTCTTGAAATGATACATAAAGAACACAAAAAATATATTAGCCTATCTTATTGTACTTCAGTTTTTTAAAAAAAATTCAATTAGCACCATTAGGGTTCTAAGTTACGGAAGGTATTACTCACAGATTGACGATCACCTCCTCGTAGAGATTTAGCTGGATAGTAAAGCAGGGATGTTCCCCACAGAGCAACCCAGTACCTTGTCCACGATGTTACCTGATCAAAGATACAATATATCACATTTCAGTGTTACAGTTTTTAGTCTTTATGTCACTTAAACCTAAGAAATTACCAAATATTACCTTTCTTTACTTTAATTAACGAAATAAGTGATGATGTGAATGAACGTTAAAACTCAAAGTTATCTCCCCTACACCATTACTTACTGTGGGTTTCTTTCCCTCTTTGAGAATCGTCTTCCTCCGTAAGCACCCCTCACAAGTAAAGCTCTGTTGGAAATTATCCTGGATGTCATCTGACTCCCTCCAAGTCATACTGTAACAAAACAGGTGGATCAGTAACAGGTACAACATGTGTTCTATACCTTCACAACAACTTATCGTCTCCTACTACTGACAAACTTAATGACATTTAAAAACTGATCAAATCTTAACCAGGAAAGTATTAAAAAATATCACTTTGATATTCCAACAAGATAACAACAGAAAAAAAAACAGTATTGTGAAGAGCAGCTCATTCAAAATTTGATACATAAAATTTATTCTGTCATATTTTCTAAATAAATATGATAATTTGTATTTTCTTTTATTTGACCTCAGAATAAACATCATTCTCTACTTTTCACTTACTATTCCCTGCTCTTTTTAATTTTCATACAAGTTTCATACATTGCCAGTTGAATATATAAAATATTTTCTTTAACTTGGAGAAACATTCATGTTGATTAACTTTTTGTAGCTTTCCTTATATTGTAGTTCTATTTGATGAAGTGACCATTGGTCAGCTCTACTTACTGATTTCTAGCCGGCCAGAACATCTCAGGCTGATCAACAGAATTTGTCTCGAATACTTCAGACCCTTCAGCTGTAAAAACAATATCAATTCATTACCCTCTATCCGTATACATAGAGAATCGGCCTTCAATGTGTTTTACCGATAACCTTAAAATGACAAATGATTGTAAGCTTTGAATATTTTCTTTGTGTTTGAAAGATCAACATTTTAATTTGAACAAAAAGCGTACACATGTTTGACAGTACAAGTCTATTTGGATGTATTTATTAAATATCTTATGATTGGCTCATTTCTCTTGTAATGAAAAATACTACAAATAGATTAAGCTTCTGCTAGAATAAGCATGAGGGGTTCAAACTAAACTTTCAATAGGCAAAACTGAAAGGTGCTTAAAAGCAACTTGAAGTATACATTAACATCAGTATATCACAAACACTGAAGCGCTGTGTAAGCAAAATAAAGAGTTCATCAAGTGACAAGCGATACCATCAACCTGTCTTAATAATCTCCTTATCCTAATTCATGCACACCATCTACTCCTCCTAATTCATGTACACGAAGTATTGATCCTAATTCAAGTACACCATCTATTTGTCCTAATTCATGTACACGAAGTATTGATCCTAATTCAAGTACACCATCTATTTGTCCTAATTCATGTACACCAAACATTAATCCTAATGCATGTACACCATCTATTAATTCTAATTCAAGTACACCATCAATTCATCCTAATTCATATTTACTATTTATTTGTCCCAATTCATGTACACCATATATTAATCTTAATTTAATTAACCATCAATTCATCCTACTTTATATATACCATCCACTTGTCTGAACTCTGTACACAAGCTTAAATACTACACATGTTATTTAACATTTCTGCAATATTCACTTTCAATCTGACATGTAGCCATTTCCTATTTTCATGTGGTGACAATTTACATAGAGTTTATTGTTATCTTAATTAAAAATATGAAGAACTTCCTGACAAAACCTGTGAACACTATTAAAAGTAACAAACTCCCACATAGAATTTACATGAAAATAGAGACAGACCCTGTATTATAATCATAGGAATGCAGACAAAGAATAGAAAGGACAAATATTTCTATAAATGCTGTTGAATTAGGTTTACAGATTGTTTTATGCAGTTTTTTTTAAGTCTGAGAGAAAAAGTTACACAAATTCCATGCATTACTTTAGTGCCAGATTATAACACAACAAGAAGATGAATACTGAAGTTGGAATGATATGACTTTCGTATGTGTGTATAAATATATATATGAAGAAGTTGGAGTGGCTTTTGTATGTGTGTATAAATATCTATATATATATGAAGAAGTTGGAGTGGCTTTCGTATGTGTGTATAAATATCTATATATATGAAGAAGTTGGAGTGGCTTTCGTATGTGTGTATAAATATCTATATATATGAAGAAGTTGGAGTGGAAGACGTCAATATCAAGTACGAGATTCATCCAATATACTTCTAATTAGTTAACATTCATGCTGCTTAGAGATTTTTTTAAAAATAAGTTGGATATCTGATTTCTTACTTTTGTTGATAACTCTAAAATTAACTGAAAATCAAAAATATCTGGTCAGTCTATCATCAACGTAACAAAAAGGGTTATCACATTAAAGAGCTGCTGTGTGAAATATAGATTACTGTCACTGAAATACAGCAACAGTAAAATATCACTTATTGTAAATATATATAACAAACAATGCTTTCTAACCATTTGTTCTCCTCAGCATAACTTATTCACCCGACAGATTATAGGAGTTGTGTAATTCAAAATTTCCTTCATATTTCCTCAAAACTATGTACCATAAATATTTTATTTATAAATTCAATTAAAAGTTATCTGTATTTAGAAATTAAATCTAAACAGTTGTAAACATAGAATGTCATAACAACCATAGTTAATTAGACATTGAATGAAAAGAGATTAACATCTATTTAGGTTAAGTTAACATCTTTGTGATGATGTGGTGAGGGGCATTATCAAGCAAAACAGCTACTGTAAACATTAATTTATTTTCACCTACTTAAAACTTACCACAGAAATTAAAGTGTGTAAGAAACGATGTTTATGACTTCATTGTATAGAACATTTCTTTTACATAATTTTACAAAATTACAATAGCATTATAAACCAGAACCACCTGCACCACATGCCTGAAGTTAAACATCTACGAGAAATTATGAAAGGTAAGAAGGCTATGAATGGTGAAGGACAACTTGTGACTGGCAATATGTAAAGCAAGCATGTGCACGTACTGGTGGTAGTGGAGAACTTGCCACAAATTGACCCATCGCTGGAAGCACAGGGAGACTCCTCTAGTACGCTATCGTCCAGTAGGTGACGAATCCCCTGGATGTATGGTGCTGTTGTCTTGGATGGCAGACTGAATGTTTTTTCTGCTGATTGCTTCTGCTGTCCATTACTCATGAAGCTGAGAAAAAAATTTTTAGCAATTATCAAAATGATAAATTCTAGAAATATGGAATTACGTGAGATTTAATAGACGAAACTTACTGTATAATCTATCCAAGATAAAATTTGTACTAAATCTATACAGGGAGCTTTCCTGGTAAAATTATAACTTATTCTGGATTTCATACAAAGAAAACGATATCCAACGTCCGGTCTATTAGATTCAGTAATATCATCAGTCTTCCTAGGACGGATTCCTAGTGGAATACAGGAGTCCGGTTCAAAGATATGTAAACAGCAAATATAGAGGACCAGACAACATTCGTAGGAAGAATTAAAACTGTTTAATAGTTGACATGTTCTGCTCTGAAGACGGCATAGCTAGTTTGCCGAAACATATCAACTATGACACAGTTTTCATTCTTCCTACAGATGTTGTCTGGTCCTCTGGTTATTCTGGATTTGTTTCTCTTGATAATTCTATAAAAAAATCAGTGTAAATATTCCAAACATGAGGATATATGGATTCAGTACAGATACATGACCACAACAAACTTACTTGGCACTTAAGCTTTTGGTTTTCCTGTGGCATTGGACCTGCTTTGTTGTAGCAGCCGTGGCACTGGGAGTCAGATGGTTACTATGTCGTGGCTCTGTTGCCGGGGAAGGGGGTGCCACCATTATCTGTACATCTTCCTTGGATGTAGACAGAGTAGACATTGGTGGTTCCACCTTCAGAGAAAGTCTACAAACAAGGACCAAGGAGAAATATAGTTATACACTAGATGTAATTACTCACTATAAAATGACTTAAAAAGATTTACTGAAATGATATTGGTTATAAATAACAAAAGAGACTGATACTGAAATAGATAGGGACTTACTTGTAGTTGTCATCTTCCACAAACTTCTGTAGTTCCTCTATGTACCTAACTGAGCGCAGGTAGTTTTGGACATGGTCAAGCACAGGTAAGTGGTCTATAAGGGCAAGAAAAAAATCATCAACATTTATCATTTCTTAGAACTAATCTTAAAAATATATAATTAATAAAATTTAAACTAAACAAGACAATGACTTTCAACATTTTCTTCACTGGCTAGAAATGGGCCAGAAAAAATGTTTGAAGTTTTATAACATATATGGTCTTGTGTCACTGATAGACTATAGTTTAATATAGGTAACATGAAGTGAGATGTACCGTAAGATGACTGCTGGAGATCGGCAATCACACGGAGGATATTATTCATCTGAATGCGGCGCGGGTGACTCTCCAAGCCTCCAGAGTGGGGATGGGCAACATCTATATAAATCAGGTCGGTCAGGTAAAGACCTACAACACAGAATGATAATGACAGATTAACACAGTTTTCTATTCAAAACAATACATAAACTCACTGTGATCAAAGAAAACATTATCTCTGTTCTAAAATTTACTCGTATGAAATGATTAATTTTTGCCTGCATTTATGGAGTATTTCTCAATGTTCTGAACGAAAATTTTGAAATTTGGATTGGAAAATCTAGAAATGTTAAAACCATTGATTTTTCTTTCAAAATGTTGATGGAAAAAAAAAGGAAGGAAAGAAAATTACAACAGTAATTGAATTGTTCACTTCAATCAAATATTTACTTCAGAGTGTTGTACTCTAGATTGTTTGCAATCAGAAAATGTCATAACTGAGTTTGCATTTGCTAAAGAATAATCAATATCACTTCATCAAATACACACTTGTCTGACAAGTTGTGCTGGAGCCTCCACGGCCTCCATCAGTACAAGTTATGTAACACACATGTTTTATTAACATGATCAAACGATGCTTCCTTTAACATCTTGGCTATAAAATGCGCTCCTATATAGACTACTGCCTGGTATATTTTAGCCAGAACCTTTGTAGCACGTCAGATCGATCAACTTAATGATCTGATGAGAGACAACCAGGTACATTCTAGAAAAGCATACGGTGCTTGGTTAACGATTAAATCAAACAACAACCTTGACCTTGAAACCTCAAGCCAAAAAATTGGCCATTAGACACAATCAAATAATGGTAATATTGTATGCCCCTATTCCTCATATAAAATACTGTAGTAACATTGTATGTTCCTACTTCTCATAAAATACTCTAGTAACATTGTATGTCCCTACTTCTCATAAAATACTCTAGTAACATTGTATGTCCTTTCTCCTCATAAAATACTGTAGTAACATTGTATGTCCCTACTTCTCATAAAATACTCTAGTAACATTGTATGTCCCTACTCCTCATAAAATACTCTAGTAACATTGTATGTCCCTACTTCTCATAAAATACTCTAGTAACATTGTATGTCCTTTCTCCTCATAAAATACTGTAGTAACATTGTAACATTGTATGTCCCTATTCCACATAAAATACTCTAGTAACATTGTATGTCCTTTCTCCTCATAAAATACTCTAGTAACATTGTATGTCCCTACTCCTCATAAAATACTGTAGTAACATTGTATGTCCCTACTCCTCATAAAATACTGTAGTAACATTGTATGTCCCTACTTCTCATAAAATACTCTAGTAACATTGTATGTCCCTACTCCACATAAAATACTCTAGTAACATTGTATGTCCTTTCTCCTCATAAAATACTCTAGTAACATTGTATGTCCCTACTCCTCATAAAATACTGTAGTAACATTGTATGTCCCTACTCCTCATAAAATACTGTAGTAACATTGTATGTCCCTACTTCTCATAAAATACTGTAGTAACATTGTATGTCCCTACTCCTCATAAAATACTGTAGTAACATTGTATGTTCCTACTTCTCATAAAATACTCTAGTAACATTGTATGTCCCTACTTCTCATAAAATACTCTAGTAACATTGTATGTGCCTACTCCTCATAAAATACTCTAGTAACATTGTATGTCTCCAACCATTATAAAATAGTAACACTATATATCCCCACCCACCATAAAATAGTGACAATGTATACCCAAACCCACCATAAAATAGTAACATTGTATGTACCAATCCATCATATAATAGTAACATTGTATGTCCCAATTAATAGATTTTCAAAACTGACTGCTCCCACACATGATGAAATGGTAAATCTATACCCTCACCTATCCTTAAGATTTTGATGGGCCAGGGGGATAAAAACACACCATATGTTAGTAACACAGGTTCTTTAAAAAATCTGAGTTAGACAATTCACATCCTCACTTCTTCTAAATAAAATGCTGTACTGACCTAGGTAAGGAACACATGGGTGTTTAACATTGTCCATATAGTCTCGTAACTTTTGTCGATTACTGTTTTCTGAAAATAGATCTGCAATCTTCTCGTACGTTGATTTGTCTCGCCTTGACAACATCTGAAAAGTATTTTTTTACAGTATAATATACTTTTAATATGTGTATATGAAAGCAGTACACTCATATAGATATATATATATACATTGCAAGGTTCCTTTTGTATAATAGGGAATGAGCACGTCTCTGAAATTTAATACCCAAGATATAATTGAATGCACTTGCACCTGAAAACACTGGCCTTGGATCTTGACTTGAGCTTACATAAAAATAAACTTGACTGAAAAGCTAATTTGTTTTTGTAAGGAAGCATGTAATCCTGAAACCCTTAGTCTGTAGTCAGAAAAGACAACAAACAGTGGTTACAGGTACATAAAGGTCTGTCTGCAGAGTTTACTTCTGCAACATGATCAGGATTACAACCTCTCTGGTGAACAATTATAACCAGTAACTGAAGTCTAACAGAAACCTAATCTATCATTCTGCACCAACTGTGAGGAAATCTTTCTGGCTATTATTACATTACCTATACAACCCAGTGTTTGAAGTCTTTACTACCTAATTGTATGGAGAAACAGAGCACTTGTATATATATATATCCTAAATGAGTAGAATGATAACTTTGTTCCTATCTGTACGATACTAGTGTATACAGGATGCTGGTACAAATTTATGTAGAAAAGGTACTCATCTGTACAATACTAGTGTATACAGGATGGTAGTTTGTAGAAAACCTCTCTGACAAGGCCTGTGTGTTTGTTAATGTGACTTACCATCCATGTCTTGGACAGCCGAAATATTGCTGCACTTTGTAATGCCGACAGTACTGCCATAACTGCATGTAAATTATTTAAATCTAAAAGTTTCTGAAATAGAAAAGAAGCGAAATAGGACTTAACTTTATTCATTAAGGCAATATACTGCACTGTCTACTGGTAATGAAAGTAATATCAAGAAAATTGTGCAATGATAACTACTTATAAACACATCATAACTTGTTGTTTCTTTTAACATCAAAGCCATAACACAATGAGTTATTCAAATCTTAGTAAAAATATCTGGGATAACAAAAATCAAACAGCAACAAGATGGAAAGAAACAGTGTCGGAGTTTTGTGATTGTACAAAACCTTATAAAGAACACTGATTTGTTTGGCCACTGTAATTTTACACTAAGTAAATATACCAAAACGTGATATTCTAAGTAAGCTTACCTTTGCTATCTTTATATAATGGGCTAACACATCTGACCTAGTTTTTAATGTCTGGCAGGTTAGAATTTCACGTTGAACCCAAAAATTTACCTGTAACGAGAAATCAATACATAACAACAAATTAGCAGACAATAGCTCATTACTGCTAACTAGACACAAACAAACGTAAACAAAGCTTTAAGGTAACAATACATTTGTATTTTCTGTCTGACCTGGAGTAGTCAGTTCTGTAGTAAACACATTCAATAATGTATACTAGTCTCGAGTTACACACCATCCCAGTCTCCATTCAGTCTTAAAAACAGCCCATACATCACCCAACTCATTCATCTTGTTCCCAATACCTAAACTCAAGATCTAGTACACAAAAAAGTCGGTGACAATTCCAGGCTGATAAAAGAATGTCATTTTATAGTGTGTTTATCAATGAATGAGCTCAAAAATTGTTGTTATAAATGAGTGAAGATAGATAAAACAGTTATCGTTAAAACAATGGTAGTATTAACAGTCAAGTCTTATATAATGTTAGGTATTTTTTTTTTCACATGTCTTACTTTTATATCTATCAGTATGTCTACATTATACATTATATAAAGTGTTAAGTGGTAAGTAGAAAGCAGGGCCTAATCACTGAAATGTTGAAGAACAGCTGTTATATATGTAGTAAATTCTATATATAAATAGCTGGGTTTTTTTTTATAGCTATCATCATAGAAAATGGCCACCTACACTGGTGGTTAAAAGAGAGATGCAGGCCTTCTCTGCAAAGCACTTAAGTTGAGTATGTGGAACTTGAGTATTATCTAATTAATTTTTTCACTATAGAATTAGATATCTAGGATAAGAACACAGTATTGTTTTTCTCTCTGAAAATCATTACTGTATAACCCACATGATTCCCATTTCATCACAGCTGCTACCAAAATGTCTTTTTACCACATGTACTTATTCATGTTAATATTTCAAAAAGGATTTTCAGCATTTATTATAACCATAATTATCAAAAGTTTTGCTAATGTCCACATGGCATAAAGTTACTGGTACATTAATTTCACAGGGAGGAAGATGTGCATTCAGATGTAAAGAAACTAAATCAAGGGCTGTAACTCTTTAAAAAGGAAATCCATGAAAACTATAAAACATTTATAGACTTAATGACCAGTTGATGTGATGATCATACTGGTGTGAAATTCTTTAATCTAAATCAGAGGTAGAAGAAACAACAAATTAATTTAAGGATAATCCTGGAGTGATCAAGGAGCCATTTGGTTGTTAGGAATGAAATATTATCATTCTCTTTAAATTTTTCGACATAAAATGGCCCTTCATAATTCCTACATTGACTAATTTCCTGAAAATGGCAAAATCCTCTGAGCTCTGTGGATTTTCCCAGTAGCCAATTTGCATGTAGTGAAGGAAGGCATTTTCATTGCAGTTTGCATATCAAATCATGGGGTGTCAGGATTCCTAATCAATATGAATGGTGCTTCATTCTACAATATATGAGGAACTTACATGGTTAAATCTCCTGGTAAATGCGACAACATTTGGAGCCTTGATGAGTTTTTCTTTCGTAGTCCATGCACACGATGTTAATTCCTGAAAACATAAAAAAAAGAAAATGGTCTCTTAATCCATTAAGAAAATTAAGAAGATTGGAAGAGGAAGACAAATTTTACACACTGACAGTGTTTTAATTATAAACACCTTGGTATGGTTACCAACAGTTTCCATGGCAACGACTTGATGCAAAGCAGTGTCAGTACTTACATCTGGCAGTATAGACTTGAACACAGGTAAATCCATCAGAGTAATCTGGCTCTGAAAACACAAGAGTAACATAAATTTAATCCTAATGTAATTAAAAACCAGAATTAATAGAGTAATTCTGACATTCTATCCTCTTCCTTTTTAATCAAATCAATTTAATTGACCTACATTTGGTTTTTTTTTGGTTTATCATTCAAAATTAACAAACCAACCAAACACTAAATAATCAATATTACCTCCATAATACCCAAGCTATTTATTAACAGAATGAAAATTAATTTGTTTTTAAGGTTGTGTATATGATATTCAGGAACGCCACACAGACTGGTATGACTACAATGTGTCTAAAATGAATATTTATCATACTCTTGGTGTCTGTTTGGAAGCTCTAACTGGGACACTGACCCCTCTGAATGTCTATTCAGGGGCTCAAACTGGGACACTGACCCCTCCAATCCTTGGCCAGATGTATCGTTATGGCCTGGTTTATTCCTATATCTAATTTTTTGTATAATTTCTCCATGGGCAGTATGTGATGTGAGGATCTGTACAACTTTGGCAATGACACCAGAAAGAGTAAATATAGGAACCTACCAATCCCACACGGACATCAGACGTAGGAATCTATACATCTGACTGGGAACTGGGACCTCCAGACAACAGAATACACTGACAGGGACCAGGGACCTCCACACAACAGGATACATTAACAGGGACATCCAGACAACAGGATACACTGACAGGGACCAGGGAACTCTAGACAACAGGATAGACTTACATTGACCAGGGCCCTCCAGACAACAGGGTGCATCGACAAGGGACCTGGGACCACCAGACATCAGAATACATTAACAGGGACCTGGGACCTCCAGACAACAGGATACATTAACAGGGACCTGGGACCTCCAGACACTTAAGGATACACTGTCAGGGACCATGGACCTCCAGACACTTAAGGATACACTGACAGGGACCAGGGACCTGAGACCTCCAGACACTTAAGGATACACTGACAGTGACCTGAGACCTCCAGACACTTAAGGATACACTGACAGGGACCTGAGACATAGGGAAGTTAACCTTACAAAGACCAGCAGGGACCTCTAAATACCAGGATAAGGTTATCATCATACCTCTGTGAAGTTAATCATGAACATTTGTGTTCTATATGCGGGTAAAGATACATGAATCCCCGACATCTTCACTGTCATCCATTCTGCAGAGTAATGTGATACCACTGATAAGATAACCCTATATAATCATTTCCCTTTTGATGTTTTTTGTAACAGCACCATATCAAATACACAACACCTTTTAACAGGGATCAAAATTTTGACCAAAAAAAAGTGGTATAAAAATTAATGGTGTAACAATGTCTTGCTTTGATTCCCTGTAACAATGTTAACCTTTTGGGAATCTTGATCTACACAAAATATAACCTTTCCTGTAAAAATAATGACCATATGACATTATGTTAACACATGTGCCTAACCCTTAACCATAGCAGCCATGTGGTAATGCTTACAATCAACCCCAACCTAACTAATGCTACAAAGGATAAACCCAGTATCTGAAACATTGATTATTGGTGGGAATATAAACAACTATGTTATCAGTTCATTAACTTATTTTATGTTGTTTATCAAAATAGACTGACCTGCCCCACCCACTAATTCAACATTATATTACAGCTTGAATTTCGATGTTCTCCCAGGCAAACTACCGAACTAGAACCCATTATGGAATAGCTTCACTCACGATAACATAATACAAAATGTACTAGTACGTATAATACAACACAAATTATAGATAATTATTGATATATCAACTGATAGCACTTTTTAAAAAGCATTTGTGACAGAATTTCAACAAACATGTCATCAAATTTGCTTATTTAGACACAAACACTCCCATCTTCAACAGACCTAATGCTGACGTTGGTAAAAAGTAGCTAGCAAACAAACAAAGTCTGGTCAGCTGTGAAGGTTTCAACTTTCAGGTACAGAAAATGAGTCACATTGAAGATGTCACCAGAGGTGAGGTTTCTATTATTGTGGTTTTAACAAATGTTGGGTTACCAGGATCTCTTAGCTTACAGTGTCATGTTCTTCGCTCAGACAAAAAACATTCAAACTAGCTCCTGAAATATTCCATATCAATTACATGTAGGTGGTATGGCATGTACAGTCTGAATAAATATTTCACTGCCACCACAAAAATACAGGTTATGTATACATACACATACACTGTCTATTTATAACGCCCACGTACAGCAGTTAGTATCAAACAAATATTCCTGATCAAATAATTTGGCAGAGTTTTACATCTACTTGTGTTTTGTATTTGAATAGACAACTGGAGTTTTTGATCAGATATTCAAATTCCTATAGCAGAAACACTTTGACAAGTTATTAGCATTGATAGTTTTGAAATCTGACAATGGCATAAAATCAATGTAGACCATCTTTGATCCCAGTCTAGTAATGTATATTGCTTCAACAGTTTTCCTGTAGTGTGGGAGGTTTAGAACTTATTGCACTAACATAGACTGTATATATTTCCTCTCTAGAAAAGTGTACACTAACATTAAGGCTAGTTTTACAGTACATTTGATGCCTAGAGACTAAGTGACCATTCAATTATACATAAATACACATTCACTCATTACATGTACAATAATTTTCCACACACGTTTTCATATTAACGAATCCAGAAATTGTCCATTTTATCAAAAAAAAAAAAAATAAATAAATAAAATATCTAATTAATATCAATTATCTGAAAAGATGTCTTCTTGGTTATTCAACAAAATTCCTATGCAAGCTAGTCACAATGTGCTTTTAGGTTGAAAACAGAAAAAATGGAGTGATCGAGTTTCTGAACTCTACAAAAATACCATTGCTTTCAACAGAATATCTAAATATGCTTCATGACTGTACATTTATTTGACCTATTAAAGTGTTATGTGATGGTGAATTGACAGTGTTACCTGTAAACTTTAACAACAGGACCTCCATGTGTAAATACTTTATGAGAGAATCTATATATAGTCATGATATTCTGGTTAGTGATGAAGCTGGAGTAGGTCTCACGGATAAAAAAAAAGTGTGGGTAGTAAAAACATATATCCGGGTAGATTTTTTACTTAATATCACAATCTTATGTCATTTATCCCACCATAAATAACAAGACTGATATGTAAACATTAGACAGAACACAACAACAGCACATGCTACTGGTGAACAGGTGTTTACCAGGCAGCATATACCTTATGGCAGAAGGAGTTTTATAGTGTGTCATAGTGAGAAAAATACATGTACATAAAAATGGGTCTAACACAATACTTTGAATTTGAAATGTCATAGGTCAAGTTCAAGTACCGAATCCTGTATTTCTCCTAGGCTATTTATGACATTAGACTCAGTGTGAACGCCCCTAGGTAGAGACCTAAATGTCTATACATAATTCACTATCTACAACATACATGTACAGATGTAACTTATTGTTCAGAGCAGGTCTCTGAAATGCAGTGACAGAGATGTCCTGTTTATAGTGCTATCACAAAGAAATGCTACATTGTATGATTTGAGATGATTATTTTGTAGGAAGGAAGAGAAAAGAAATCATAAATAAATAAACAATATGACATTCTATGAGAATATTAGAATCTATATTTTTCTCAGTGTTTGGTGTCTTCCTACGTGTTTTTTTATACACAGATCAAGATTTAACCTACATTAACAAGCTGTCTTGATAATTGTCTAAAGCCTAAACAAACAAATTAATATACAAAATGCAACATCCAGAGAGTAATTTTCACTTAAAATGTCTTTTCACTTACAGCAAATTCATCTGGTGAAACTCGCAACACATCGAACACCACTGCATCAAAGCTTTTCATGTGAGGCAGACAAGATTGTTTATCTAAGGACTCCTCACTGCCCTGGCTGATTGCCTGAAATGACACAAACATACAAGACTCCATATCATATATGTGTAACACATACTATAATTTCAACATTTCCTATTGTCTGTTTAAAAAAAAGGGAACATGATCATTTTTTATATGAATCCCTGCATTGTTTATTTTTCTATTCATACTTATAAAAAGTTATGAGATAAGGTAACAATATAATATAGACCATTGTGTCATTATGGAAATGATTTCATTGTGGGTGTTGAATATATGTAGAACCTGATGTCAACATTTGATGACGTAAAATGTAAATAATAAACAACTGGAATCCAATAAGAATAACAACTTATGTAAATAAATATTACGTAGGAGTCCATTAAATGAAAAACAGGACATATCACGTAGTCACAGCATAATTTATGGGTAGGTTTTCTAGTTTATTGGTTTAGACATTTAGAAAAAATATTCATGGTTATGACATTTAAATAACCTCAGTTGATATATATTGTTTGGATCTATATAATCAAATGATGTGCAGTTTGAGATCTTATTATATTAATCTAATTTCCGTTGAAGCTGTCAAACAAGGTCTACAGCCAAACACCTATCATATAGTCTTAAGCATCATTCCCAAAATAATATTCAATTTTAATTTTTTTTCTCAAATTAAGCATCATTCCCAAGATGATAGTCAATTTTATTTTTTTTTCAAATTTTTAATCACTAAAACCAATGATGGATCAGATACAATATATCACTTATGATCAAAATTGTTCAAACTGATTTTTACACTCAGCTAAATTTGTTTGTTTGGAAATTAATAGATCAGGTCTGTTGTTTGATGTCCTGAAGTCATGTCAACTGGTGTTCTTGAGGTCATGTTTTTATACCCCAACTTTACAAACTAGAGGGAAACAATCAGTAATTAAGTAATAAATACACCCTTCTACAGGTGTTGGAAACATCAAACACAATTGTGATGGACAGGTTATATCACAGTGAAACCTTAAAAGGAAAAATTAGGGACATAAGCCAAACCATAATTCACACCCAAGACCTCTCGACAAAACAACATCTGCTACCTGTAGATCCTACAGTAGGTGTCAGATTTAATCTAGGTACAGTCAGTAAAATCAGATCTATTATTGTAACATTACTTTCCTTTCCAGACAGAACTGTGAAAATATCTCTTAAACAAATGAGCTGCCCTCATGTGACTTTTGAAGATATTATAGATAATATGATGTAAGTGGCAGTCATATTTCAGCCAATAGATTCTAAACTGGAAAAAAAAATCTCAAAGAAGATATGTAAAAAATCTACCAATTTCTTTCTCTCAAAATTCAAACTCTATGACATATTCACTTTAAAGATAAAAAAAATATAATAAAAGGTAAGAATCTCAAAACCAAACAGAAAAGTAGACCTTAGGAACATGAAGATGGGAGGATGCTTATATACTCAATGACCTTTTTTAATGATCAAACCACTATATGGTCAAAATAATTTGTGATAAGTACATATATAGATACAGGATATTGATGCCTTTGTTCACTGGCTCTTGCATTGCATTAGTACAAAATTATCATTCAAGTAGGCAGTACAAAAGAACATTTACTACTAAACTACAATACACAATTTGTACATGGCTAAACCATGACCTAAATACTTCTGGTATTCTTTATCCCAACAGAGAGGACAATTTGTACAGGGCTTGGTGACCTAAAAATATCTGAAATTCTTTCACATTACTCTGACAGAACATAAACATAAGAAATAAATGGTACACATACATACATCTGTAATATTGTTCTATTGTAGACAAATATTTGTGTTATACAGACCATCCTGATCCCCCATACCAGTAGTGAGAGGTTATCCTGACAGGAATTTGATGAAATAACAAAACTGTTTTAAGTATATAGGGGCTCATACACACACAACTTAAAGTTACAACATACTATAAAATAACGTACGTCAGAAACATTAAATTGACTCTCCTTGACCTTTTCAAATATTTTAATTTGCAGTCTTTCAAAGTGTTGCAAGGCAATTTAAGCTCAAGTCTGGTTATAAGCCTTGTGCAATCATACTTATTGTATCACTATAATTACAAATGTTATTATGTTCACTTGCACATTTTCCTACCTTTTGACAAGTCAGAATTGCATAACTTGAATTGCAATGATGGCTGTCTGGGCACATGTTTGTAAGTCACTTAATTCTACTGAATGTTCAGTCTTTTCGAAATTGCATTCTGGTTTTCACCTGCTAGGCAATGTTTGCTTAACATTGTCTTTATCGACTCTCACTTGACATATAATCAGTACAGCCATCTGATTGCCATTATGAGGTACCTTTCAGCCTTGTGGCTGATTGTTGACACCTATAGATAGTACAGGTATCACTTTCTTTGATCACCTCTAATTAACCTGTCTACCTGAGGTATGTGGAGGTCGCAGCCTCAGGGTATAAACAGCTAGAGATCAGCAGTTACTTTGTATTAAGGGACAGGAATGATAATATATACTGTCAGAAGTTAATTCAGCTTGAGAGTTCCTAATTACATCTGTAACCTTTCCTGGTATGTCAGGCATGCCTATTGAGATATGAAAAGGAATGTATGGCACAAACACATATAACTGTTTATCTATCACATATTATTGTCAAATATTCATTATTCTATTTTAAGCCAATAAACAAATATGTAATGCTTTTTTAATCACTTCATTCACAATTGAGCAAGCTAAGCTAGGATTATGCACATGAACTAAAGTACTGTACAATACCCAACATATACACAATTTGAATGTTATAAAAATTTTCTATTAATTTTTTATATTTACTTTTAAATATTTCCTTATTGAAACTTAACTACTTAAAGTGTTGATTACTGTTAACGCATTTAACCTGACTATTTCTGAAAGAAAACCGAATATTTGAGGATGTTTAGGCCTTCCTATATTATATATTGTATGACTAAAAACATTTTGATGTAAGATTTGTGCACCTCCCCAGCTTGGTTATCATCTGTAGACAGTAACAAGACAGCTGATATATTATGTTTATACAATGTTGTAATGCTTTCTAACATTATGTTAAATCTATCAACCCAATATCAAGACATTTTATGGCAGTCCCTGACACAAACGATATGGGACAGATGTATTTATGTCATTGTAATGATGTACCTGATCATTAGGATGTTGTTACACCTGGCTATTATGATGATCTGATGGCTGTTACACTGTCTCTACAGTGAAAATGTCATAAACATTAACTGTTGTTTTCATTAGAAGCCTATAAAATTCCAGGCCCTGGAGTAAATAAACAAAGTGACAGTGGATGATGACTAGAGGGTTGGTCATGCGATGGATGGGAGACTGTTGTGGAGGTGTGAGTGACTAAAATTCACCACTCCTCGAGGTTATATACTACTCTACTGACATTAACTAGTAGTCAGGACTCTTTAACTCATTTACCTTGCTGGTTTAATTGTCTCAATCAGCTAATCAATGACATCTGAACAGGTGTTAATTACAGATATCATCTGTGAGATGTGTTCAGTTAACTTTCACACCTGTGTTTAAGTAGGTATATTTTAACAGAGACAAATATATGTGATATATACGTCTTTGATTTTAACTGTTACATTAAAGAATTATGAAATTATGTTATGGTGTATCAAATTTTACATGCAACAAACATAAAAACAGAGACAAATTTTGTAAATCTTAATATTATACGCATCCCAAAGGGTGCACAGATGTTTAACACAATATTAAATCCCATTAAAACATTATATCATGAGGTACTAAGTATAGATCTATGACAACATTTAAATATCGGAATTCCGTAATATTTTGGCAATTATCCATTATGATTTTTTTGTGAGTCACTATGATTATATGTGTTCACAGATATTTATCAGGCAGAGAGGTATCCTTGCTTAGGTAATACAATTCCCATATGATGCACATATTCATAAATAATCACCTGTTATGTAATATAACCATGTGATAGATACCTGTAGATAGAGTGATACCTGTTTATACATAATAGTCTATATATAGCTAGAATAATTATAGACATCTGTCAATCAATAATAAAGTAAGTCATCTATACCATCATAATCATCGATGTAAGAAAATAAATTAATACGAATCAATTATTCAACATCAATGTAAATTACTAGATATATCTGAAGACAGGGTAGATAAATGATAATGAAAACAAATCCAATATGACCAGAACCATTATGCTTCGATGTAAGCTTGTACATGTGTGCATATTTAACATGTAACAGTCGCATGCGGTATAGATCTAGATTTCGTACATCAGTTGTAGTAGTACAACCTGAACTTGTAGTGTATAATATATGACAGTTGAACTAGAATTGCTTACCTCCATTTCATCTACCTCCAGCCCCATGTGTTAGGCTACAGAGGTCAGCTGGTCTAGTGTACAACAATCAGGATATCACATACTATATCACACATTATATCTATCCATGGCTTTTTTATCACACGACTAGTAACATCCTCAAGAAAACAAAGCAGGGCAAAGTCTGGTAATCCTTTGTCTAAACATTAGTGTTAAAGAAATAGTTTTGGAGTGTTGTGTTTAGAAGCTGTTAAAGCTCACATACTAGCTGGTCACCTTCGTTGACTGGCCTGTATACACCTGAGAACAGGTAAGCCTGTTCTACCATTGGGTGTGTTCATTCAGCCATGACCAACAAAACACTCTATTTGATATTAACGGCAAAACACAGACACACATTTTTTTACTATGTCAGCTACAAATTTATTTTTGAATTCTAGGTTATAATGTACAGTCCTGTAAATCTTTTAAAGATACTTTTTTAACATATATTGTAGAACACTGACTAAAATGATTCAAATTTTTACATGTGTTATCTACGTGTACACACGTACTATTTGGGAGCGGGAGACCTCCTCACGCTGATGTCAGACACACAGAGAGTGAACAGGACATGGGATGAGTCCTTGAACAATCAGCTTATACACAGGCTCACA